AGAATACTTCCTAGCAAAGAAATGTTCAACGCACAGTAATGGAACATTTCTTTAATAAAAAGTAATCTTGAGAACATATATCTATAGAAAACATCCTTTTTCCATATTATGAATATAATTAACATACAAACATAAAAAATATGATAGCAGTGAACATGTATTGTTTATTTCAAAATATAAAATTTTAAACAACTTATAATATAACAGTGTTTAGTGTAGTAATGCAGTAACTTAAACTCAATGAAATGATAAATCATTTTGTATGATTTAATCAAAGCAAAAAACGAACAATAAACAAAATGAAAATGTCAACAATGTTTATATAATGAAAGCTTATCATAAAATCCCAATACATATTTTAATGGGTTTACTCTTATTCTAACCTCCATTTTGATGTTTTGCTTGTATACCTGTAACTTTTCCTTTTATGTCAGAAAATAGTTTATTTCTGGTTCTATATTCATGATGAGATGTCAAAGTAAAACTATAATCTTAAAATCAAAAAATAGTATGATTTCATTAACATTTTCAGATTTGGGTGTCTTAGAGTTCCTAAAAACAGTACATGTCCAGACATTGTGTGACATATTTGCATATAGAACCATTTGTAAAATAATAAAATAAATGATAGTCAACTTTACTCAAAAATAGAAATAGTTTTTGAATTTTCTACTCAGTGTCAAGTTGTAAGGGTTATGGAAAGAAGCTAAAATTTACAAACAGCCTATATTTTAAACTTATATCAACAATCATTTTCAACCTTTATAGAAAAGAGTTATATTGTTCAACTCGTTATATTTTTTTGTTACCTAACAGCCTGTGACTTTTGTAAAACCATTACAACTGTCTACACTCGTGCAAAGGATTGTTTTCATGTGCTCCACTGGAAAAGTTATTTCCTTTGCACACGCACTCACAACAGGAAAGCATAATTTGTGCTCTGGGTTGTGTTGAAGACAATCATGATTGAAATTCACAATGATCACTAACTTTTCACCATTAATTGGCCGATGCTTCTGGCCAGTTCGCCATCCCTGGTACCGATGTATCTGCAACCTGATATTGATCTGCTGATGATTCTGTACTCGCATCAAATACAATTGCTTCTTCATATGAAGGGATGTTGTTTCCATCTTCCAAGGT